GTGGACATTGGTTGCACACAAATGTTTTGCTTTGGCAGAAACTTAGATAAATGAGTTAAATCAACACAACTTATTCATATTCAATAAACCTGTGCATTTTGTGTTCAGAAAACACAACTGAAACATGTTTAGATGAAGTAAGTTGAGCTCTTGGAATATTTTAATCCTTCACAATTTTGTCATTTTATTTCAACACTATTCAATAACTTTTACCCCAGTACTACTTGGTCACTTAAATACTACATGTTGTCTTCATATTACATAATGTTCAACAAAGTCTAGAGTCTGGTTACCATAAAAAGTGAACGGGTCTACAACAACTACAATCCTCCTATCTTTCAGGGGCATAAGCCTGAAGTGATAGGTCACTCGGCAGCGAACACCCTGGACAGCTCACCAGTCTACCACAGAGACAAACAACCATTCACATTAAATTGTGGATTTGAACCCAGGACCTTCGTGAGGCAACAGCACTAATGCCACCATTACATGTGGTTAAACCATGATAAAAAGCGATAGCATACATGTGGTGTGTTTGTAGTTGTCTGTGTAATTTCATGAGTCCAGCAACTAGCCACTCTTACTAGATTGTATCAGATCATCTCAACAAGAACAAATTAAGTTGTTGAATTTCATACAGATCCTACATGATTTAATTACGTTCAAGATAGAAACATGAAATTTTTGTGTTCAAATTAAAAGGTAGGCTTTTTTAATGTAACAACCACCCAATTTACTTCTTTCGGTTTACCAAAAAAGTAGAGGCGGCTGCTCGACTTGACTGAGATGGATGCCTTCGTCAAACCACGATCCAAAGCGTGCGAGACTGAAATCCTGTGTGATGTAAACATTGCTATATTATTGACTTACTTCACTCGCTGTTGGTCACATGAACAATAACCGTATGACTGTTCCCACCACTAGCTCATGACCCTACGCTGTGTTCACTGCATGATTCCATGTTTTGGCACTGATCACCACCTGCACTCATGTATATATCTTTCTATGTAGCACTTTTAATTCTTATTCTCATGTATATATCTCATGTATATCTCATGCATATATCTTTCTACGTAGCACTTTTAATTCTTATTCTTACTTTTATTTTTTCATGTCTATTTAAGCGCAATTTATGACAGCATGTTTGCACTGAAGCACCGCAGCAATTTCCTAATGTTGTAAACCTGCTCAACATTTGGCAATAAAACCCTTTCTGATTCTGATTCTGATTCAAACATGAACAATTTAATCTACCCTCTCTGCATATTATGTAGTTTCTACACTATAGAGTTACTATAGAGTTACACTTAACTTTAAAGCATGAGGCACTTGTGTTAAATACACACAAGATACTTACATAAATCCAAGAGCTGGCCAATCCCTTTTTTTCAGTGTAGTTGAAAAACCGACCAACAAACACTTCTACTGTATGCTGTAACTTTTTATTTGAACTTCATGCAAAAAACATTTACTAAATAATCCCCTTTGCTCTGTTTTATTTTCTATGCCAATTTCCTTGTAGCTTTTATTGTTGACATCCATTATATCCACAATTAAGGATACAGTCTAGTGAAGACATGAGTATGAGGATGAATGGCAATGTTATTTGAACACTCAAAAAAAAAATGAAATTGGGTGGTTGTTACATGTACAAGATTCAAACTTGTAATTTGAACTAAATAATTTCATGTTTCAATGGTGAATGTAATTAAATCATGTAGCATCTGCATGAAATTCAGCAACTTAATTTGTTCTTGTTGAGATGACATGATACAATCTAGTAAGAGTGGTTAGTTGCCTGGACTCACAAAATTCACAAGATCACATTAGATGTCAAACTGCAGGAAAATCGCTGGAGTTTTAAGAGGCAGACAACTACACCACGTGTATGCTATCGCTATTTATTGTGGTTTAACCTGTCAAGGACAAAAACATACAGAAAATTCTGCATCAAGCCTTCTAATCATAGCTTTCCTAGTTTTGGTAAGCCTGGATTGACAGCTTGGTGGCGTGATGGTTAGTGCTGTTGCCTCACAGCAAGAATTCTAAATTACCCATGAATATAAGTGCAAATGGTTGTTTGTCTCCATGAAATCATCAACCCCCATATTGGTTCATTGAGCACGACTAGCAGTAATTGCCTTGATTAACAAAGTAGTTGTTCAAACAACAAGATTTCATTGCGTTTTCCTAAAGTTTTTAACTTGTGTAGAATCAATTAAAACAAATTTCACTCTACATACTTAAATAAATCACTTCAAGTCAATGTAAGTATACTACGCTGATCCAACATAATCTGATTACATTAAGCCACCAAATGCCAAATGTGTTGGTTTGACATGGTCAAAAATCGGTTATTGTACTTGGTTAAATCACGTGGAAAAAGGCGCCATGATTAAATTGTGTTCATCCAACAACAGATTTTTTTGAGTGAAATGATTATCCTGTGATGGAAACTTTACAGATTAATGTGTGTTTAGTTATACCATAAAGGAACTGTGTAATCTTAAGTGTCATGAAGCGTATTACCTGAAGACGATGGAAGTGGAATAGATCTTGACTGATTATATTCAGGGTCCATCCCAAATATACTGTGATCTAAAATGTAGAGGAGATAGAGAGGAAGTATCAACAAAAGGTTACTTAGCAACATCCACTGGCATATACAAAAAACGAAGCTGCTGAACAAGTAACACAACTTTTTCAATCAAACAAACACAAATGTGTACAAAAACTTTATGTTGCTTTATAGTTAAATAATTTAACATGGCCACAAAGAGGTGATACACATACTGGGTCCATGGTGCCTTGGAGGACTCCTTGGGCGTATGGAGATGGCATCCATTGGGATGTTTTCTCTACCCCTCCAGCTTTGTTCCTGCCAGCCACCTTGAGGCACTCTCCCTATAGCAGCATCATTGCTAGCCCTGTCACCCCACCAGGTTGGGTCTTTGTTGTCATAGGGGTTAGTATGATGGGTTTTGCTGGAAGCCCTAGAGCCCAAACAGAATAAATTAAATTATTAATAAATTATATAAACGTATGACACCTAAGAGCACTGACGTTATCACATCAGGAAGAGAACAGAAATTTCAAGTCACCGATATAGTTATTTGAATTTAAACTGTGGAGGTTTTATTTAATTTAAAGTACATTCAGTCTTATAGAGTATTGGACTCATTTTAACAGTAAACTGCAGAGACTAGTATGCTAAAGTTTACTCTAGGGCTCTCATATAATCATCCACAATCCTCAGACCTTAAATCTTGTACCAAAAAGATTAACACTAAAATGAACCAGCCGAGGATAAAGCAAAGATATATAACAAATTCGCGCTGTTGCCTTTTTCTTGAGGCGATCCTGTTGAAGCTAGTTTTTCATTTGCTTGCTTGACATTCTGACCTTTTCTTCACAGTACTTCCTCTTACTACAAGCACACACAACACACCACTCAAACTCCTTCACAAACACATTCTTTGACAAATTGTAATTCTATACTTTTCAGGAAAAAAGATTTCTCTGATGCACATTTGAGGACAAAAACAAATTTTATGTTATAATATAAACACAAACCTTCTATCAATTTCCAGAGTCTCGGTGTCATGGTATGCATGGTTGAAAAATCCCCCGTTCCTGTAACTTGTCATGAGATCCTTCAAATCGATCCGTTTGCTTTTCTTTGGAGACAGCAGTGATTCCTCAGCTCAGTATGCCCCAGTCGCTCCCAATATGAGGATTTCGGTGTCAAGTGGCAAAATGTAAACGACTTATTCCATATAAAAGACAAATATTAAAATAAAGCAATAGAATTGTGCTTGAAGTCAAGTTATCAAGCTAAAGACTAAACCTAAACAAGTAGTATAACATGTTAATACCACATAGTTTTCTGTATAGAGGCAGCTTCATAGAAAGCATGTGCAATTTGATCTCTAGAGCGCTCGGTCCGATCATTATAAATTCATGTAGGAGGTTTGGTTTCAGCCTGTGGAAAGAGGTTTGGTTGCAGTGGTATAGCTCTGTGGTTCTCACAAAAACCATTATATTATGGCAAGAGAACACCTCGGTCTTATATAACAATGAACAGAAAACAACAGACTGATGGCTGAACTATGGAAACAGGAAACCTATAAGAAATGTGTAGTTAGAGTTAGCTTCTCATATAATAACAAACCTGTAAAGATTAAAAGAACTTGTCAAATGACATTCTGCTCTGTTATTAGCCTCTGCTTACCTGGTTACTGTCCTGTAATGGAGAGAATATATCTAAAAGGGCGTCCTGACAATACAGAGTTGCAGCTTAAAAGTCTGAGGAGTATCTCTGAATTACCGTCAGTGACATAAAAAGAAGGACTGTCCTCCTACCAGGAAGTTTAGCCTGAGCTCACAAAGGTAAAAGTCCGCTGCTTTTGGACTGGCACTTGGATATTGAAAGGTTACGCTAGATTGTGACATGAATAATTAAACCGCCAGTGCTAATAATTATTTAGCATCCTTATTAAAACTTAAGGTGATAAGGCTCAAAAGGCTGACCTATAGGGTTGAATCCTGTTACAGACAGATAAATGAAACCTAACCAATAAACAAATAGTCGGAAACCGGTGGGTTTACTATGCTCCACACAGGGAAGGAAGAGTTGTGAGCAAGCATTTTAATGAAGTGAAAGGACAAACATAGACAAACTGGGAATATATTGTGTGACTGTGAAACTAACTAATATAATATGTAATCTGTATGTTCATAATTTTGTTTTTTTCTTTTGAGACTGTGAGTTAACTAAAACCTATTTTAAACTTAAACCTGTCATATTAGTATAATTAGCACATTCGCTTAAAAAATCCTACAAAAATGACTACATAGCATAGAATATAATATTAAACATGTAACTAGCAACACAGACTATTATAAAATGAAACCAAACACGACACCCAGATATAACATAAATAAATAATAGCTAGTGTCGCTCCCGGAGCTGTATCCACATCCAGGAAGTAGATGTTGGGAAAGACTGCTATTATCTTCCTGACAGCTGGGAGAGTTAACTCCTTGTTTTTGACGAAGTCTGATGGTTAATTGTTAGCTAATACATAAATAGCTGTATTTATTCTGTCGGAAAGGAAACAATGGAAGTCGACTCAGGTATTTTTGAAGTTCGTGCATTACTTCAGAACATTAATTAACCCAATTTATTTCTACATTAGCTAACTAGCTAATAATGCTAGCCGCTAAAAAGTAGCTAAAAGTTTGTTGTGCTGGTGAATGATTTGACAGAGGGTCATATAACGATTACAGGAAGACCTTCAAATGAGAGCAGGAAGAGATTTTGTTTGTCTGGTTTGGCTCGAGTGTGTTTACGGTGTCGAAACTCAATTGTCGGCTCATAAAACAGTCTGCTCCCTTGGTTAGCCATTGTCTTTTCTCCTGGGAGGCAAACGTAAAAAGGAGTGTCGAATTTTAACAATGTTTTTGTTAGCTGTAGATACATATACTTGAGTTGTGACGTGATGTTATTGTTTGTATGTGTAAACTTATTATAAGGCGCAGGGTGTTAGGGACATTAGGGTAGCCAGTAGTGACCTGTTCGTATACAGTACTTATTAAAAATCTATTAAAAGCTCATAAGTGTGCACAGTTTGAAATATCAGTATCCTGTGATCTACAATTTATCATTAATTACTTTTGTGGAATGTCGAGTTTAAGGGTGCATCATTTTCTTCATTTGTATTGATTTTTATTATTATTCCCATAATATAAAACAGCTTCTTCTCAGTTTTCTGTCACTTAGAAAAGTGTTAGAAAACTCTGTCCTCCTCTCGTTCTTCTCACCACTCTCAGTCAGTGCAACCTCAATTCCCCCTTTCTCTTCCTTTCCACCATCCTCTATCACATGTTCTTGCTCACCCTGCTACACAAACTCTTACTTGAAGTATAATTTTTCAGTTTTCATCCTTTTGGGGCTCATGTCAGAGGTCAACTCTGATCATTGAGGCACAGTTTAACTCTTGCGAATAATGTAGCTATCTTTATATTTGTGAAATTTTAAATGAATCCCAACACTATAACAACAGTACCTTGAGAAGACCTGATATCAGTATGTTAAAGTATGTTAAAAATACATTAGATTAAATTAGATTTATGATATGTTCAATGTTTTGAACTTGTGACAGCCATTTTCTGTTTGTTTTACTTTGATGTTATCAAACAGAAGTCATATGGCAGTTTAAAGGTCTTGCAGATATAAACCAGGTGATTCAGTAATACGTAAAAATGGTTTCCACAGACATGCTACCAGAGGGTTTTCTAGATGTGGAAAAAGCTACATCTAACGAAACTATTGGCATGTGAATGTTTTTTCCTTTTCATTCTTTTTTTATTTAGATTAAGAAGAAGTGTCAGTTCGGTATTTTAAGCCTTAAGATATACCAGCTTCCTCAAAATGCCTTGCTTGCCTAACAGCTGGCTCCACATACAGAAGCAGAATTCTACTTGATGTTAGTCTTAGTAAAGTTTCAGTTCAAGCTGCTATCGAAACAAATGATTACTTGAAATAACTTTTTGTTCTCAAGATACGAGCTCATCATGTGTCAAATAATTTGGAGGAGACCTGCTTCTGGTTATCTGGCTGTTTCTGAAATTCATGGCCACATGTTATAATGGTGTTAAGTTTAGCTTGGTAAATTTGAGAGACATCCTATATTGATTTAACGTTTTCAACAGCCTCTTAACCATTCTTAACCTGTTAGCTGTTATCTTTGCTGACCTTCCTTTTGAAAGAAATGTGTTAATGGCTGACAAGTGAACTCAGTTTACCTCCTTTGCCTCTCAATTCTTTTGTTTTAATGCCATTTCTCAATTTTGCTTTCTTGGAGAAAGACATGAGTAATGAGACTCATTAGCAGTCACCTGGAGAGAATAAAGTAACTGTGCTATAAGGTTGAGCCTCAATGTGTGTTGGACTAAACCATTTCTAAATTTGTAAGTCTGGCAGAGAGCTTCTATTATTTTTGTAATCATCCAACAGATTTATTCAGGCAGTTTAATTATGACATAATTTACATAGGGATTAAAAAATGTAAACAAAAGCATTTTTTTCATTCCTGGCTTGGAAGGGCCCCTCCTGCTGGAGCTCTAGGTAGTACTTTTCTCTCCACTGCTACAACCTATTTTTTAAATGGTGTTGATGAGCATTTTTTTAGCCTTTCTGGAGGTTGTTTTTTTTTTTTTTTCATGGTTTAAATTTTATCTTTAATCACTATGTTAATATCAGTTTGTTCTCATTTCTTTTGTCATGGTGTGTGGTGGTCCTTTGATAAAACTGAATATATGGAGGGAAAAAAATAGGAAAAAAATAAAAAGCAAACTTGTCTAAGAGAATTCAGACTGTGCTGAAGAATAAAGGTGGTCAAATGAAATGTTGACTTTCAAGCTGCATTGTATTTGTACAGTACAGCTGTACAAATATAGCATTTTTACGCTATTTCTATGCATGATTGCACTTGTCAGTAGATCTCTGCACTTATTTCTCAATTTCATAGCAAAACATGAAGAAATGAGGGATGGTTTGTGTCTTTTGCATGGTGATGTAGTTATTATCTCAACTTGAATCCAACTTGAGTCTGCAAATAAAAAAAAAGTTTAATTTATGCAAATCTCAGACAACATATACATCCTTAGAAATATATCTGTGCTAGCCCAATATCAAGTGAATCGTGTAGCTGTCCATATTTTTATGTGGACGTGAATGGATTGGATGGATGGATGGATGGATGGATGGATGGATGGGTTGATCCTGATTTGAAGTGACTGTTGTGAAAATGCAGGGGTAATTAGCTCAGTGTTAAACACAGTCATATTACTTTGTATTATGTATATTTCATCGAGTTTTGTTTTCTGTACAGATGCAATATTAGCATCTGTTCCAGAAGAGCAAAAATAAATGTCATGTAAGAAACATTACTTTGTTTGTCTTTTCAAGTGTTCGTCACTGATCACAGTGGGCGAATCAGCAGTAACCCTCTGCTGGACCAGCTCCCCAGTTACCAGTCCCTGCTGTACCGCAGGAAGTCGTCAACTGTTGGCTCCAAACAAAGAGGCAGCTCTAGAGCAAGGGTTGGCTCATCTGGCAGTGGGAAATGGGGTATAAACACCTTTGTAAGACAAACCGTGAAACAGAAGAGTCAGACTGAGAAGCGACACATCAGAGAACTAGCCAAGCCCATGGCTGAGAAACGCAAACAGTAGGAAACTGTAGTCTGTTATGACTTCTTTCACTAATAGCTAAATAATGTTTTTGTGTGTCAGGAGTTTATTTGACTGTTTGATGTTTTAGGAAACGGTGTGCAGAAGATGCTCAAGAGTTGAGCAGCTGGCAACAGTGGCGACAAAGCACCCGCAAGTATCTGAGGAGGATGAGAGATGAAAGCGAAGAATGGCTGAGCTCCTTGAAGCTCTGGAGGGGAGACATCCACCTAATAGAAGGTAAAAGAAAGACAAACAGATTGTCTGACAGAAATTGTTTCTTTGGTCTCAAAGACTTGTTTGGATTTCTGTTCAGATGGTGCTAATCGGTAATTATAATTTTGCTAAGACAAAGTGTACCTTTGTGTTATGTCAGACTTAAGTTCTCCCTTTTTGCCTCTTTCACTTGTCACTAGGGATGTTTGGAACAGGGATCCTGTCTTACTTCTCCTTTCTGCGCTTCCTGGTCACACTCAACTTTATCATCTTTCTGCTCATGTTCGGTTTTGTCATGTTGCCCATCATCATTGCACCCCATGTTTCAGGAAATATCACCTTCAGCCAGAATGATAGTGAGAGGATTATTTGTTTGTTTGTTTCAATTAGAAGCATATACTAAGCAAGAAAGATGAAAAAGCTTAGCTTATCTGTTATATTACAGGTTACTGCAGCGTGTATGAAAGTGGCAGTCGTCGAGGTCTTGTTAACTATCATAAGTATATTACTGATCTGCTTTCTGGTGAAGTAAGTGTTGTCACATTATTAGTCTCCTGAGAAAGAGTCCACTCTGTAGTTTCTGTACTCACCTGCTGTGCTTCATCTGCAGGGCTTTCTGGAACAGACCTATCTTTTCTACGGCTTCTACAATGTGGAAAAAATCCATTTCTCCCACATAACTTATAATTTGGCACTGGCATACCTGCTGGTCACTATAGGGTACCTCTTCCTCAGTCTTATCTGGATTGTTAAAAGGTATGAAAAAGGCAAACTCATAAGAAATAACATTTATGTGATGAGATGTGGTCTTGAGTGTTTTCTTCTTTCGAAGGTCTGCCACCGGGTTCAAACATAATCTGATTCAGGATGAGGATTGCTTTCAGAGTTTTTGCAACAAGATCTTTGCTGGCTGGGATTTCTGCATCACCAGTGAGAATGCTGCAAAGCTGAAGAAAAAGACTTTGCTCTATGAGCTGAAGGTTAGTTTATACATCAGAAGCATGATTGTAAAACTGGCTAGTCAAAACAATGGCCAGTTTACAAATTTGTTTTAAACTAATTTGAAAAAATGGGTGCTTACATGGCACCCCAGCAGCTACATACAGTTACTCTAAAGTAAAAATAAGATGTGCATTTTAATATAATCTACTTTTATGGCTTTAGTGACATTCAAGGCCCCAGTTCCCACGTGCATTACTACCGGGGTCACATGCTAATCAGCGGTATTCTGTGCTATCATTGGTAGTCGCTTCAAATCCTCACCAGGAAGTTAAAGGCAAGGCAAGTTTATTTGTATAGCACAATTCAACAACAAGGTGGTTCAAAGTGCTTTACAGAGACATTAGAAACAAAAACAAATAAAAAGCATGATTTAAAATTGATTAAAACAAACAAACTAACTAACTAAATAACAAACAAACAAACAAACAAAACAGTATGTAAAAGCAAAACAGATAAAATCAGAACAGTAGATAAAATCAGTAGTTAAAATGAGCTTAAAAGGTTAAAATAAATTTATCACAGGTCCCGCCTGCTTCACAGTGCCAGCAGTTATTTAGCCTCTAACCACATGAAGTCACTGAATGTCATTCACTCTCTATTGTCCCTGGTTGCCACATAGCTGCCAATTGTTTTCAGTGTTGATGCAGCTCTACCCTGTACCTGTGTCCTGGAGGTAGTAGTTCATATGCACGTTAGAGAGGGTGCAATACATCACTGAGAATTGCTTACACTTGTCCCTTGATGTTCCTTAAAGTAAAGTAAAAGCAAAATTTTATTTATATTGCACCTTTCAAGATAAAAATCACAAAGTGCTTCACAGAAGCTAAAACATAAAAATCAAAATCAACCAAAAGCGAGTTTAAAACAACAACAACAACAAAAAAAACTTCATTAGTCTTACTGATGAGTCTAAAGTAAAGAAAATTAATAATCAAACACCATCATTTTGTTGTCTTGCCTTATTTTAAAATTCATATTTTTATATCTTTAGACTGATTTGGAGGATGAGAAGATCAAGCAGAAAATAGCAGAGCGCACCCACAAAGAAAAATGTCGGCTTTACTTCATCCGTCTCATCCTGAATCTTTTCGTCATTGGTGTACTGGCTGCTTGCTTCTACTGCATTTATTTAGCCACTATCTTCTCCCAGAAAGCCCAAATGAATGACCAAAAGGTAAGACAATTTTTTTTAATATTCTTTCTCTCCACCCACTTTGATTCAACCTTTATGTAGAAATTTCTGGTAAATGTTGGCAACACAGGATAAAAGGTATTTGTTGTTTCTCCTCTTTTGCAGGTGAATTTCATAGTAGATCTCATTTTTGAGTATCTACCTTCAATTGTTATCACCTTTGCCAACTTCATTACCCCAGTACTTTTCTCTTTTATCATCAACTTTGAGGACTATTCTCCTGCTTTTGAGATCCGCTTCACTCTTATGAGGTAAAATGGAGTCTTGTGTTTTGACCTGCTTACTCATAGATGCAGATTTGAACTTGAAAGTATTTCTGATTTGCCTTCTTTCTTCCTATCCTCACAGGTGTGTCTTCATGCGGTTAACCAGTATTGTGGTTTTGCTCTTTTCTGTCTGGTCTCGGATCACTAAATGTAAAGATGATCCCTGTATTTGTGGCTACAACCACGATCTTTACCCTGTAAGTAATCCTCTTTTGCCATAATGTAATATACAGTGGTTTGCAGGGGTAGTGCCACAGGTACCAGTGTCAAACTCATTTGTATCTTTGCATTAGCTGTTATACATATAGTGGGGCAAAAAAGTATTTAGTCAGCCACCGATTGTGCAAGTTCCCCCACCTAAAATGATGACAGAGGTCAGTAATTTGCACCAGAGGTACACTTCAACTGTGAGAGACAGAATGTGAAAAAAAAAATCCATGAATCCACATGGTAGGATTTGTAAAGAATTTATTCGTAAATCAGGGTGGAAAATAAGTATTTGGTCAATAACAAAAATACAACTCAATACTTTGTAACATAACCTTTGTTGGCAATAACAGAGGTCAAACGTTTACTATAGGTCTTTACCAGGTTTGCACACACAGTAGCTGGTATTTTGGCCCATTCCTCCATGCAGATCTTCTCGAGAGCAGTGATGTTTTGGGGCTGTCGCCGAGCAACACGGACTTTCAACTCCCGCCACAGATTTTCTATGGGGTTGAGGTCTGGAGACTGGCTAGGCCACTCCAGGACTTTCAAATGCTTCTTACGGAGCCACTCCTTTGTTGCCCGGGCGGTGTGTTTTGGATCATTGTCATGTTGGAAGACCCAGCCTCGTTTCATCTTCAAAGTTCTCACTGATGGAAGGAGGTTTTGGCTCAAAATCTCACGATACATGGCCCCATTCATTCTGTCCTTAACACGGATCAGTCGTCCTGTCCCCTTGGCAGAAAAACAGCCCCATAGCATGATGTTTCCACCCCATGCTTCACAGTAGGTATGGTGTTCTTGGGATGCAACTCAGTATTCTTCTTCCTCCAAACACGACGAGTTGAGTTTATACCAAAAAGTTCTACTTTGGTTTCATCTGACCACATGACATTCTCCCAATCCTCTGCTGTATCATCCATGTGCTCTCTGGCAAACTTCAGACGGGCCTGGACATGCACTGGCTTCAGCAGCGGAACACATCTGGCACTGTGGGATTTGATTCCCTGCCGTTGTAGTGTGTTACTGATGGTGACCTTTGTTACTTTGGTCCCAGCTCTCTGCAGGTCATTCACCAGGTCCCCCGTGTGGTTCTGGGATCTTTGCTCACCGTTCTCATGATCATTTTGACCCCACGGGATGAGATCTTGCGTGGAGCCCCAGATCGAGGGAGATTATCAGTGGTCTTGTATGTCTTCCATTTTCTGATGATTGCTCCCACAGTTGATTTTTTCACACCAAGCTGCTTGCCTATTGTAGATTCACTCTTCCCAGTCTGGTGCAGGTCTACAATACTTTTCCTGGTGTCCTTCGAAAGCTCTTTGGTCTTGGCCATGGCGGAGTTTGGAGTCTGACTGTTTGAGGCTGTGGACAGGTGTCTTTTATACAGATGATGAGTTCAAACAGGTGCCATTCATACAGGTAACGAGTGGGGGACAGAAAAGCTTCTTACAGAAGATGTTACAGGTCTGTGAGAGCCAGAGATTTTCCTTGTTTGAGGTGACCAAATATTTATTTTCCACCCTAATTTACGAATAAATTCTTTACAAATCCTACCATGTGAATTCATGGATTTTTTTTCACATTCTGTCTCTCACAGTTGAAGTGTACCTCTGGTGCAAATTACTGACCTCTGTCATCATTTTAAGTGGGGGAACTTGCACAATCGGTGGCTGACTAAATACTTTTTTGCCCCACTATATGTGTTAGAATGTGAATATTACATATGTTAAGTGTAACTGCACGAATATGTGCCCATATTTTGGTCTCTTAGACTTTTAATTTAAAAAAGTATTTAAAAAAAATAGTATATTCCTAATCACCCTATAAAATACATTTCTTAAATCGTGACATGTATGTATGGTAAAATCCAGTCTCTATATCCTTGTTGCTGTCGACAGTGCTGGGAAACGCATGTGGGCCAAGAGATGTACAAACTCACCATCTTTGACTTCATTGTCATCGTTTCCGTCACCATCTTTGTGGAGTTTCCTCGAAAGTAAGACCTCATTTATCCACAGTAGAAAAAAAGTACAGTTCATCTAGTTTTGTGATCATCTCATGACATTTGAAGAGGTGTAAACATGTCACCTTCATAAAAGATTAAGAATCTCTAATGTAACAGTTACAGGAGCTGACTTGGACTACCGTATTTTTCGATAGTGCGCCTTATAATCCGGTGCGCCTTATGTGTGAATTCTGGTTGTGCTTGCTGACCTCGAACTGATTTTATGTGGTACACTGCGCTAAAAAATCTGTCAAAAATGTTTTAGTTCGACTAAGCTACAGAGCCGCACCGCTTGGATGGATTGTCGGAGAATTACGGCTACTGTAGTCAGGAGCCTCGCGGAGTAATCTGGGTCTAAAACTTCGTCCGCTTCAGGTCCCAAAGTTAGATGAATACTGCGACATCACTGAGAGTTAGAAACTGTCTAAATTCCTTCATCTTTAATAAAATGATCAGCGTTGCTGCTTTACCAGGTGGAACAATTAAGTTTAACATCCAGGCATCCATCAAAACAGAATTTATTAAATTTAACAGAGTTAGAAGTTAGCATGAAGTTAGCTCGCTAGTTTACACCGAAACATGATATAGCATGTTCTGACTGAGATTTCTGAAAAAATTAAAATGTACAGCTCTGCTATCACTTCCAGCATAAATAAGGACAGAAAACTAAACAGCAGTGATGTTTGTAGAGTTACTGAAGTTGGATTAACTGGTATATAATGATGTGCTACGTGATCGCTAATGACACAGCTATGTTAGCATAACATAAACACAGTGAAACTGGAGGATGAACGCTAACTTTTTTCCACTCGATAAAAGTTAACGTTAGGGTTCCCGATGGTTAGGGACAAATGCAATCGCATGGCAGGATGCTGTAAATGCACCAAACTTCAGTCAGGAGAACAACTGAGACAATCCATCCACAATACAAGGTTAGTCATTAATATACTGCAACAACATGGGAATAGAGCAGCTGTGAGAGAATTCAGCATTAATGAATCAATGGTACGGAAGTGGAGGAAGAAAGAGGAATGAGTTGAGTCAAGTTTGACTTGTTTTGTTTCGCTTAATGCGCCCTATAATCCGGTGCGCCTTATGTATGAAAACAGATCCATTCATCGACAGTGCGCCTTATAATCCGGTGCACTTTATGGTCTGAAAAATATGGTAGTTTTAGTGTTAGCTTAGTCTAAATAAATGTAGCTAAAATTATTCTGTCACTGAAGGCTTTGTTTTCTCTGATTATTTCTGCTTTAGTCATTTTTGTCCTTCTTGTTCTATCCTACCCAGACTGCTTCTGAGGTACAGTAATTCTGCCCTGGCTAAATGGATGAGCCAACAGGAGTTTTCTATTCCTCAGAATGTACTGGAGATCGTCTATGGTCAGACCATCTGCTGGATCGGCACTTTCTACTGCCCACTGCTGCCTGCTATCTGCACCCTCAAATATTTCTTTATTTTTTACATCAAGAAGGTGACATTTTGGTTTGAATGCATGTAGTTTTTTTCCTTGCAAGAGTGAAGGAAAAAAGCATGAAATATTCTAGTAAGCCTCATTTGCAAATTTTTGTTTGCTAGGTATCATTAATCAAAAACTGTCGTCCAGCCACACGTCCTTTCCGAGCATCCAGCTCCAACTTCTTTTTCCTCGGCGTGCTGTTGATCGGCCTGACTCTTGCCTGTGTGCCTGTCATAGCTAGTATAGCACAGTGAGTAATGTTCATACTGTGTTCTAATTATATTTGTATAGTTTGTATGGAGCTTTAAAAGAACCTCTAGCAAAAATATTCATGCCAAAGGTCAAAATCTGGCCACTGCCATATAATTATTTTTTTCTTAATATGGATAAATATAGGAACTCTTACTTGTATGCACTCACTTATACTTCCTTTTTGTTCAGGATAAACTGTTCTCGGGCCTGTGGACCTTTTGTTAATTACGAAACCTCCTGGTACGTGGTGCCAGATACAGTTTCTCAGCTACCCAAAGGAGTCGAAAAGCTTCTTCGTGCTCTCTCTTCAGAGGCCTTTGCTGTCTCTTTCTTTGTTATCACATGGTTGGTCCTCTTATTATATATTTTCACCTTTTTAACATTGTTTTTCCTCTGCTGTAATTTTATACTTTGTTTCCATGTTTTTTCCAGTTTGGCCATGTTTTATGTGATTGCACTTGCTGGAGCACACAAGAGGGTCATTAATGAACTAAGACACCAGCTAGAAATGGTAGGTCTTATTCTTTCCCCCCCCCCCAAGGGAGGGAGTATGTAATTGGTTCCGTTTGTTAGAAGTCTAGTGCCCACACTTTTAAAGATATCGTTTTCAAATTTTGTGTGATTGTAGGTACAGATAACGGCTTAATTTATTGTTGGTGAAAATCTAGTCGAAGTTACACACCTTATTTTTTCAATATGTTCTGTACGATATCAGTAATAAAAACATCATAAAAAGTCAGTTTTATTATAGCTCTTGTCCTTCAGGGGGAGTTGCGTACTCTGAGTGTTCTTGTTATCAATTCAGTTATTGCCAAATACAGTGTGAACTGAAATCTGTTTGTGTTAATTTGTCAATCAGGAGGGCCGCGACCGGCGTTTCCTGATCCAGAAGCTGTGCCAGGCCCAGAAGCGCTCAGGTGTGAGATCCCCACAATCCAAATTCCAACCCCGCCGCAGCAGCAGCAGAAGCAGTCCTAGCTACCACACTAGCTTCGCCACCAATTTCAGTGATGCGGTGTTCCTGGCCCATGCAGCTCCAAGCTCCTCCACTCAAGTTTAAGGCAAAGGCCTTATTTTACTGAACAAAGCAGAGGTGCATGCTTAGACAATTCTTCAATTGTCTAAGCAGACAATTGAACTTTTCAGACTAATATCTTAAATGTGTTTAATTAACTGTGAAAACACTGCATTGTAAACAAATATCCTGTTCACAGTGCTTCTGACCTTTTCAGTGGGTTTTTTTGCTGTTTGTTTGTTTGTCCAAAAAAACAGTCTGAATATTTGTGAATATATGAATTGACAATCTCAAAAATATTTTTTTCCTTTAATCAAAACTTTATTTTTGTTGAGCTGCAGAGTATTTACTTGCATGTAATCTTTTCCTTCTGAGAAGGATTTCGATTCTTTTAAACTACTGGACTTGTTTTTAAAACTTTTCTCAATCTCATGCACTTTAAATGTATTAACGCAGGGTTTTGGGGGTTTGTTTTGTTTTTTTACTACAGCTTCCTTGTTGACTTGTTTATTTGTGGGTGTTGTTGCATATGCAAATGAATATTTATGACTGTGCTTAATACATTTTGAATGAAATTACTTTTAACACTACTTTTTACTTAGTTTTAGTACCTTTTTAAAATATCTTCTGGACTGTGGGCATGTTATTAACAATGTCCCTGCTCTGGGGTTGTTTGTTTTTTTGTTTTTGTTTTTTGTCAGATTTGGGTGAAAATACTCTTGTACTTTCATGATGCCTTAATTTGATTGTGGGTACTGTACATATGAAATAAATGTTTTCCTAAGTATATTTTCTCATTTAATTGTTTTAAATCTCACTCTGTCAGTCTCATCATGCAGATATTTTATGGAACAAACTGATATAAGTGAATGTGAAATACTGTTTTGAAAAGTCAAATGGTGGTAAAATCTCTGTCATGGTGCTATGACAAAAGGCAGTTCGATGATATATAAAAAAGTGATAAAGGGTAATCAAGGAGAGGGTAATAATAAGATTACGAATTGGCTATTGAAAAAGTAAATGGAATAATTACAAGGCCAACACAATACGCTAACACTATAGATGAGTTAATTGGTATTTTTCTCCTCCTACTTTAAGTATAGTATTTTGCAGGGTATGATACTTCCAGAATATGAAAAAGCAATGTCTTCTCCAACAACCGAGATGTTAGAAAATGGATCAGGGATGTTAGGGTTCGGTAAAAACGTAGACGTTTGTAACTTTAACCAGAAGAGGGCAGTGATACAACTTAAAACGTTACAAGCGGCCGTGAGCGAAGGAGAAAATGGCACCTCCTACCCGCCAGAGGTCGCTGCAGACGCCGCCTGTGACAGTTCATTGACAGCCCCTCAGCTGGTACGGAACCGGAGGCAGCGTGCGGTTGCTTGGCTCAACCACTCAAAATGCTCAGAATTACGATCCGGGCAGAAATGGGATCCCTTTGGATTTTGTTCGGTGTCATCTACTCCCAGTTCTTGGCCGTATCCTCTGATGACATAGTTGTGGCATGCGGTGGATTCGTGAAATCCGACGTTGAAATCAATTACTCTCTGATCGAGGTGAGAGTGCAAATGTCCCGACTAGCGTGCTAGCAGCTAACCAGCAGCTAGCTGGTTTGTGGTAGAAAGCTAAAGGTTGGGCGGAGTTTTTCGTTTCAATGACAGTTTGAATGAAATGAATACAAAAGCAGTGTGTTTGTGTTTAATCTGTTTCTGATTGCTCGCAAACATTTGTGAGTTTGGTCTTGTTTGACATTGATTTAGCTACTTACTTGATAGCTGATGGTAACTCCGCATTAATATCCATATATCACACAAGGCATTCACTGCTAATCCTAAAACCTGCAGGCGTTGATGAGTAAGTGCTCCCGTCCTAATCCCTTCTTTTTCACGGGCTACATGGGATTAGCAATTTGGTTAATTAAGATATTGAAATGAACTAAATCCGACAGACTAGATTGTTTCTTTGTTGCTAGTTGACATAAATCGCTCAGTTTAGTTATTATAGTATGAACACTATAATAACTTTCATTATGATTAATGATCACTGTGTGTTCTTCATTCTCAGATTAAACTATATACCAAACAAGGATCACTGAAATATCAAACGGATTGTGCTCCAATCAATGGTTACTTCATGATCCCTCTCTATGACAAGGTATGCCAGCAACTGATTTGATTAGCTCTAACTAATTCTTTCACTGATGGTGAATTTAATCAAGCTGTCACTTTAACGCAGGGAGATTTCGTTTTGAAGATCGAGCCTCCGCTTGGGTGGAGCTTTGGTAAGACTCTCACAGAAACATCCCCATAATTCACAAATTATCATATAAAAGCCATTGTGCATTGTCCCATATTCTCTGGTCTCTTTTCCTTTTGGACTTTTAACTATCATCAGAGCCTACCAGTGTCGACCTGCATGTGGATGGAGTCAGTGACATTTGTACGAAAGAAGAAGACATCAATTTTGTTTTTACGGGATTCTCAGTGTCAGGAACGGTGAGAATGGTCTTCTTGAAAAGAAATTTAGATTGTTATAGTATGTGGACAGAAAGTTTAAGAGTTAAGACTGTCTACTTTGCAAAATGTGTGATTTTAAAAAAAAGTGCTTTGACACATTTGATGGGGTTTATCTAAATGCAAGAAAACTTTGGAGCGCTTTAAAGCTTTAAAGCTTCTTTAACCAATGCAACACAGGTTATTGATAAAATAAATAGTATCAAGTGGTGATTAGTGTCTAGTTTCCTCAAATATATTGTGTTTTGCTCAGGTTCTGAGTAAGGGCCATCTCATGGGCCCAGCTGGCGTGGAAGTCAAACTCAGCCGAGCCGGAACAGGGGAGAAGCTCCAGAGTGTCACCACACAGCCTGGAGGAAAGTAAGTTACTCACACCTTATGTTTGTTTCTGCATTATACAGATGTTTGAAATGAACTTGCCCCTTTCTTTCTTTTTTTTGTGGTTTTTTGCTTACACAGGTATACCTTCTTTAAAGTACTACCAGGAAAGTATGACATCACAGCTTCTCATCCTTCCTGGACTCTCGAACAGGTTTGTTCACGTTAGCAATCGATATTAAACTGCACGTTGCGTTAAAAACGTGTTGTCCATGTTCTATTATGAGTGCCTCATGTCAGTTTTTTACATCTTACATCCACCAAACCCCATTTAGAATTGATGATCAACTTATCATGCATGTCTTTGGACTGTTGAAGAAAGCTGGACTTTGCAAGATGTAAAATAAATGACACAAAGTGTAACTTGGTTCATATCTGATGTTAAAATTAGATGAAAAAAGAGTGTGGTAAACTTTTAGTGAAAGATTTAAAATCTCTGTGTACAAAAATACACTGTCAGATTTGTAACTGATGATGCGAATAAGCTCTCCCACATTATTTCCCCCCCCATACCCACCTGCCATCATGCTCAGTACCACAGCATCCCAGTTTCCAATTAAAGTACTGTCATTAATACTGTAGAGAATGCATGATCTCAGAGGTCTGTTTGATTCTGTATCGCTTGAGGGTAGAAAACTTCATTATTCACCTACTTGCTTAGCTGATACGGTTCCTTGTCAGGTGAGCAAGGTTATAACTAATGAGCTCCAGCAGTAATCACAGTGAACCTGACAGGGCCATTATTCCATCTCTTAATGCAACTTATGGGTGACCTCTGCCATCTTCATATAGAGTACTACCTCAGTGCACGTCTCCAATGCAAATGCCCCGGCCGCTGACCATCTGGTGGTTGGAGGCTACGATGTCTCGGGGGAGGTCCGCAGTGATGGAGAGCCCATGAAAGAGGTCACCTTCCTGCTTTACTCAGCCACAGTCAAGAGAGAGGTAAACCTCCATAATTTCCATTTTTGCACAGAAATATGTCGACTTTTCATATCCGTCTTACATTATATGTAAATGATCACACTTTAACACTTTACTTTAACTTAACACATTTTCCACGTCCTTTAATTTCTGGAATATGCTGAATTTCGCATTGCTCCATTGGTTCAATTTGAATGTTTGTCATTTCCAGGACATAAGTGGTTGTAATACTTCCCCAGTGGAGGGTGCAGATTCTGGAGACAGCACGCTGGTATACCTGTGCAGCGCTCTGTCCAGAGATGATGGTGTCTTTGTCTTTCCTTCGTTAGCCAGCGGCGAGTACACTGTGGTGAGTTATTGTCGCAAAAGCCAACAGAAGACTGCTGTCAATTTGAGCTATTGTGTCAGAAATACAACAGAAGACCAAATGATGTATAAGTACACAGTGCAGCTACTTTGATTTAATAAGGAAGTCTTTTCCTTTGTGCCATAAGATTAGCTACATCATCTTCTGCTTTGTGAATTCCTATGTTGAAGCCTCTATTTGGCTGCTTCCATGTTTCCTATTTCTGGATGAGAGGGTGGAGTGTTTAATTATCAGATAGCGCCAGCAAGTTACATCCATTAACTCTAACAGGGCATTAGACAGTCATAGATACACTCTAATTAGCGCTGCATAACATACAAATAGAGTACTACAATTTGATCCGAAAACCGGACCACAAATGCAGCCTTATTAATCTCTGAAAAGCACCAAGAGCACAAAAATGATTGAGTTCATGTTCAGTGACTTGGCTTGGCTGAGGTCAAGCTTAGCAGACAGCTGCCAGAATAGCCACCTGCATAGGTGTCCACCTATCAGTCAAAGCTGCTTCACTCCTAATTGAATCCATTGGAGCCTGAATAGAAAGTAAACAGGAGAGTTGGAGCGAGACACGGTAAAGTCAGTTGTTATCTTGCTGAGGAGTTAGAGGTGATGAAACTCACAGCTCCTTATCCAACCACTCACAGCAGGTACTCGTTATTCCATTACTCCTCTCAGTATTTCAAAAACAGCGCAAATTTAAATCTTGCTTTTTTAAACTTGATGACACACACACACAAATTTTACTTCAACAGTACTATTTGAACTATTTAAACAGCTCTAACGCCATTTAAAGAGGTTTGGGTGATTTACTTAAATTAACCAAACAAAGACTTTCATAGGATTGTATTACAATATATTGTAATGACAACTACAACATGTTTTATGTTTCCTGTTTTCTAATCCACCCCATATTTAGCTAGGTAATCCGAATCCAGTGCAGGAATTACATGTGTATGAACTTTTTTTTTTTTTTACCGATATAACTACAAGAGACAAGGTGGTATGAATGATGGGTTTTATGAAAGCATCATTTTTATTTGCGAACAATGAAATTCTATCTCCTCTATCTTAGAGATGTAATCGTTTTTCCATCTAAATGTGCTTCTGTGAAATCCTTCACTTCAGATACCTTTCTACAGAGGAGAAAGGATCACTTTTGATGTTGCTCCTTCTAGGATGAATTTCAAGGTGGAACACAACAGCTTGAAACTAGAGGTAAAGAGAACTGTTATATCTTAATTTTTTTAAAATAGTTATTATTAATGTGTATCAGCAAGTTTCAAAAGGAAACAAGTTTTGTGCAAAATATTCAAGTTTGACATTCTGTCTCTTTATGTGTAGCCCATCTTCCGTGTGATGGGCTTCTCTGTGACTGGCCGGGTTCTCAACAGTCCTGATGGGGAAGGTGTGCCTGATGCTACAGTCTACCTAAACAACCAGATCAAGGGTAATCGCAAAAGAAGACTCATGTTTTCAGTAGAATATCTAACTATAGTTTTTGAAGTGGTTCTCTGTCACACTTTAAACTGTAGCTTGCTTTACCACTCTGTCCTCACAGTTGTCAGCAAAGAAGATGGCTCTTTCCGGTTGGAGAACATGACAGCTGGTACCTACACCATCCGTGTCAACAAAGAGCTCATGTTCTTCGAGCCAGTCACAGTGAAGATCGCTCCTAATACGCCTCAACTTCCTGATATCGTCACAGCAGGGTACGTTATAAGAATTAGTAGCTTATTACATAAATTTAGCTGCAGTGTAGTTCTTCATATTGTCATGACTTCCTCATTTTGGTCCAACACAGGTTCAGTGTTTGTGGCCAGATCTCCATCAGCCGCCTGCCTGAAGGCATGAAGCAGCAAGGTCGCTACAAGGTCACTCTGACGCACAAGAGCACAGACAAGGCTTTCATTCGGACTGTTGAATCTGACCATCAGGGGGCCTTCTGCTTTCAGGCCAAACCCGGAGACTACAGTGTCCATGTAAGACTCGAGCAGCATTTTATTTTATATGACATATCCATATCTTAATTTTTATAACCTCTTATTTAATCAGTTTGAAAGCTAATTCAAATGGTATTAAATATATACAAGAAACCGACATATGTCACGCATACTAAATTTTAATTGGTGAGCCTCCTAAAAGATGAACAGATGTCATGTTGCCTAAAGCGCAGATGGTGCTTTTTACCCATATTCTATGATATTTGCACATTTACGGCTTAACAGTTGCAACAGATCATCATCTGAAAAACTCATTTGTCATTGGAAAGCAAAAAACCCAAATCTTTAACTTTTTTTTTTATTCAGAAATACAGATTCATCTGTGTCATCAAACCAAAGCAGTTAAGCTTAGTGTTCATGTAGCTGTTTGATTAAAAAATATGGTTTTAAGCAAAAGGATATTTGTTTGTGTGTTCAGGTATCTCTGCCTGAAGCAGAGGTGAAAGCAGGCCTGGCTCTGCAGCCTCAGGCCCTGGACATCTCCCTTGTGGATCAACCACTCACAGACCTAGTTTTCACCCAGTTCATGGCTTCTGTTTCTGGAAAGGTGTACTGTCTAGGTAAAAGTCTTAGTAATTTACACTTTACAGTCTTTTTGAGAAGACAAAGTTTACCAAAGATGCAGCTTTAATCCATAAAGAAATATGTTTTCACACGAGCCAACCTTGTGTTCTCTGGTTGTCCTTTAGCTTCCTGTGACGACCTCTCTGTAACCCTGCAGCCAGCGAGTAGGCAGGGGGAGAGGAGGGCAGTGGCTCTGTCTGGGAGCAGCGACATCCTCAGCTTCTCTTTTGACAACGTTTTGCCCGGGAAATACAAAGGTTTTAAGTATACTTCTAGTTTTTTTAAATTATATGTAAACTCTGCATGCAGTCAGGTTTTCACTGGAACAACTGAGTCAAGCATTCTGTACAATATAAACCCCTCAATCTATGCACACTTCTATTTGAAAGTTATAGTAGTTATTCTTAAATAGAGAAATGAGCGGGTAATCATCAGCCTTTCAATCACTGGTTTATAGCAGCAGCTTTCAGCAGGCATGCCATTACTCAACTAGTGTTTCCCCACCTTCTGGTAATGTGGATCCATCTGTTCATTCCACACAAACTCTTTCACTGCCTGCAAATGATCTGCACACATGCATGTTTATTCAGTTTATAGTGTTGCTGGGACAGTTTTTATATATAATATGTGTGCAATCATTTTTTAAATTCTTTTTTATTCAAAGATCCTGAACGGAACTTGTGATATTTTTCCACCTATAATAGTGTGACATATTTAATTCACATATTTCTTTTTTCCCCCTGTCATTTAAAATGTATTTCTCACTTTTTATTCTCTCTAATCTTTACCACTTGTAGTAAGTATTTCTCACGAGGAGTGGTGCTGGAAACATAAGTCAGTGGAGGTGGAGGTTCTGGAATCGGACGTCTTGGGGGTGGAGTTCAGACAGATTGGCTACATCCTGCGCTGCTCCCTTTCCCATGCCATCACTTTGGTTAGTAATCAGTAGCTCACTCCACTTGCACTACATGCTGCCTGTTAGATCAGATGCTTACACTTCCATATGTATTATTGAATGTGTGGTGCTGCACAGGAGTTCTTCCAAGATGGCAGCAAACCTGAAAACGTTGGCGTGTACAACCTCTCTAAGGGAGTCAACCGCTTCTGCCTCTCCAAGCCTGGTGAGTTTCTTTATTCTGACCTCTCATTAGCTCAACATAGGAGAAATTAGCATAATCAAAAAATATCAGACTGTACCAACTGTACCATGTCCGACTTATCTAAATATACCACTGGAACGTAATAAGTAATCAGCCAAAAATGGCTTGTCCAGGTGTTTACAAAGTCACCCCTCGCTCCTGCCACCAATTTGAGCAGGACTTCTACACCTACGATACGTAAGTAATGTAACGTCGTGTGTTTTTATTTCTGGGTTAATGCAGTGCAACCATGCAGCCAAAGCATTCTAATGACTGCTGTTGACCTGTGTGTAACAGTTCAGCCCCCAGCATTCTGACCCTGACTGCAGTGCGGCATCACATGACAGGACTCATCACCACCGACAAGACTCTAGACGTCACAGTCACGATCAAGTAATTATGACTCTGCATGAGTAGTCTCGTATGCTCAAATGCTGCCGTGCATTTGCGTGTTTGGTAATGACCAGCTTTAGCGTTTTTATTTATTTTTAAAACCTCATCCCCCTGGTCAGGTCGTCCATCGAGAGCGAGCCGGCGCTCGTGCTGGGTCCGCTGCGGAGCCTGGAGGAGCAGAGGCAGGAGCAGCAACTGCAGGAGATCGAGCTGCGACGTCAGGAGCGAGAACGCCGTGCAGCTGAAGAGGAAGGAGGTGCCAGAGACGATAGTCCTCCTATCCAAGAAAAGGCTGATGAACTGACAGGCCCTTTCCACTATGAGTTCTCCTACTGGGCTAGGTCAGTTTTTGCTCTTTAAAATACCATGTAGGGCTGACGGCAAAACTTCTGTTCACTTTAGTGTTAACTTGGAAATTCCAGCTTTATATCTCTGTAGAAAATTAACAGGACTTGAGAGAAATTAAGAGTGGAATTCTGACATCTGCTAATAATAACCATCAGAGGCTCACTTGAGTCTAGAACTGTTGTTCATTGCTGTTAGTGATTTTTTTCTTTCTGTGTAAATATGCAGGGCTGGTGAGAAGATCACAGTGACTCCCTCCTCGAAGGAGCTGTTGTTCTACCCTCCTGAAGTAGAGGCAACTATCACCGGAGGTAAATTCACACAAGAAGAAAGTCTATTGGAAACCTTAAAACGGACTCTGATACAACCCACGCAGGTTATTCTAAATAAACCGCATCTTTGCTGTTGACAGAGTCGTGTCCAGGTCGGCTGGTGGACATCACCGGTCGTGCAGGTCTTTTCTTAGAAGGCAAGGTGTCACCAGAGCTACAAGGTGTGGAAATATCTATCACTGAGAGAGGCGCTGCTACACCACTCATTACTGTGGCCACTAATGAGATGGGAGCATACAGGTATGAGAACACAGTGATAAAAATAGGGTGTGTGAAAATGAGAGCGAGGATATTCAAGCATTTTTCATTCGGGTAATGCTGCCTTCGGGTTCTGCTATAAATGTTATTGCCTTAGCAAGTCATTATACTAACAGGGTAGTTCATAAATGCATTTTTTTTTTTAAAGAATAAGGTTTTTGGCCTGGAGTGAGGTGTGAAGTCTTTTCTATTTAGGACCAAAAAGTTAAAGTTAAAAAAGAAAAAAAAGTTGAGATTCATGGCTGTGGGTGCAGCCATCATCATTTTGTTACTGACTGAAATAACCCAACAACTGTTGGATTCATTACCTCGGAGCCCCAGATGTTCATGGTGCCCAGAGGATGAATTTCAATGACTTTTGTGTTCACCTGTTTATTCCTCTTTTCTTTATTTGAAGAAAAAAAAAAAAAACCCTGGAAACTTACGAAGCATCAGCCAGGCTAGCATTTTTACAGCAGATATTTTTGGCTTGTCATAAGAGCGAAAGCACAGGTGGCATTAGAGACATTGGCGCTGAATCAGTATGCAGAAAAGCAGGGCTTGCAATACATTATCAAGCCTGTGATCTGCGATCTTGATGCTGTTGTAAGCATCTTAGTCTGTAAAATTAGGGTCACGGGGACAGCCTCACAGGGCTGCAAGTAGACTTTGTGTCCTTAGAGCAAAGAAACATGCCTCTTTTCTTTCACATGAGTAAAGCTTGTGTTGTATGTAGTGCTGTCAGCGTTAATCTCGTTAAAATGACGTTAACGCCATAACTGCATTAACGCAGCAAATCTCCATTAGCGAGTTAACGCGGATCGCCCCGTGCGTTAGGCTGCACGGCGTTAACGAGGCGCGTTGACGCCGTGCAGCTGGCGGTTATGGCGTCATTTTAATGAGATTAACGCTGACATTGTTCCATTGTTTTAGTATTGACGTTATAATAGGCTTTATAGATTGGCTTGTGTTCAAATCACGTTGCATTTAGTAATAAACGAGTATCTTGAAGAAATTCCGACCTTCACTTAACTTTTCCCCCGCTTTTCTTCAGTGTGGGTCCGCTCCACAGTGACCGGCAGTACGACATCAGTGCAAGTAAAGAAGGTTTCGTGCTGAGTCCCGTGGAGGGCACCCAGGGAGATTTTAAGGCATTTGCTTTGGCTGGCGTCACCTTCAAGGTATATGCAGCCATCCTCACGTGCATGTTTTACCTCCCAGTAATCATCAGACGTTTAGGTACTTTTTATATTTGTCCAGCTGTTTGTTCACAACTACTAACCCTCAGTGATTATGGTGGTTGGACATGAGATAAAGAAGTGACATAATGAAAAGTACTTGTTACTGTATGTTTTGGAAAAATGTTTTTTTTTGTGTTTTGCCGCGTGCTGTCAGTACACTGCCTTTGTGCTGCCCTTTGTTAAAAGGATCTGCAATTACCTACTGCGACCGTGAGATCCTGACACAAATGATCAGTATTAGTTTCCTTTTCACACTGTGTGATAAATTGCTTTGAAATCTTCTGCTCAGCATTGACAGAGCTTTGTGCCCATGTTTATTTTTCACTTGTACATCTTCTCTGAAATTAAGCTCACCTGTCAGCCTGATTACACCCACAATTTGGCGCTCACTCGAGCCACGGGCTTTCATTATATTTTCTCCGTGTGATCTTTTATTGTGAAAAGATTAAAGGGGTTTAATTGATTTGGTCCCTGTCTAGCAGTAAAATCAACAAGTATTCTGTCTGTGCTGTAGATCAAATCGGAGGACGGTCAGCCTCTCGCCGGCGTGCTTCTTTCTCTGAGTGGGGGTCAGTTTCGCTCCAACCTTTTGACTCAAGACACTGGCATCCTCACTTTCAATAACTTGGTAAGAAACCTCTTTTAGTAGTATGTCAGACTGCCAAACATTGTTGGTGGTTGACGGTAATTCTAGGGATGCTTTGCCCTGTGTCTTGGTTCACTTGTCCATCCTGTATTTTCTGCTTCCCACCTTTTTTTCCTCAGAGTCCTGGTCAGTACTACTTCAAGCCCATGATGAAGGAGTTCCGCTTTGAGCCGGCATCTCAAATGATTACAGTGGAGGAGGGTGAAAACCTCAGTATTGATATAACTGGAATCAAAACTGCGTACAGGTAAATGAGTGTACATTGTCCACTGTTAGCTTGCAAGCATAGGAATATCTTTCAGTGTGCAAATTACTGAGCCTATACTCATCTGCTGGTGGGTACTGCAGCTTGCACATGTGCTCATTGCAGTCTTGTACACTTGTCCTCAGCTGCTACGGAATGGTGCAGTCTCTCAACGGGGATGCAGAGTGGGACGTGGCTGTGGAGGCCGTGGGTCAGGGAGACTGTAGCCTCTACAGCGAGGACACGGTCACTGATGAGGAGGGCCGATTCAGACTCAGGGGTCTGCTGGTGAGGACGGGATGAGCTGTTAAAATAAGACCAGACTTGAGAATTGAAACAGATCATGGCCTCTAGGTGTTGTCTTGGATTACTAGGGAAACTGGTGATTTTGCAAAGTGTGATTTGTAAGCTGTATATGATTTGCTCAGTTGTAATGGAGTGTATGTGATTATACCTCTAACTCATTTAATGTTTTTCTTGCAGCCGGGTTGCAAATATCTCATTCAACTGCGAGCTGAAGGCAACGACCACATAGAGAGGGCCTTGCCGCAACACAGAGCTATAGAGGTAGGCAGCAGCTTGCTTCAAGTTTGTCTGGTGCAGATGTTCAGCATCTTTGGCTTTTAATGGGGTGGAGAAATTACAATTATACCAAGTTTCTTAGAGCTTTAAATATGAGAGGGGTCACTTGAGTGTCATGAAGGCACACATGCTTAAGCATAACTGGTTAGTTTTACATGTTTGGCTACATATTTAGACTTTTTGTCAGTAGCTAATGGTGCAGTTATCTATGTTTAGGAAGTATGTTGTTTTGACTTAAAAGCTGTGGGTCAGAGTTGACTTGGATTACTCTTGAAGGCAAAGCTGCTACTAAATGAAGCTCACTGAGTGCTTTAAGTTCAGGAATTTTGCACACATTTTCAAGTCGTACTCGCACTGCTTTAACACTTCTGAAAACTATTAAGGGGGCTATGGAAAACTTTAGTAATTGAATTGTTAAAATAACTGTGGGAACCCTGTGATTATGACTTATCGGCACCCTCATCACATGGGTCCTTTCAATATTCAGAACAAAAGCAGCGATAATCCCATTGCCAAAGTTTAAACCTCTCACTTCATAATTTTAGCTTGTCTGAAAAGTGCAGCGCTCCTAATCTCCCTCGCAAGGCTGGAAATGCCTTAATTCCCTTTAATTCTCTGTTATTATCACACCGTGTGACTTGAACAAAAAACTTGATCCGTGGTTCACATTGGATATTTTCTTCACAAGTTTCATTGTTACATCTATATAATGAGCTCTATATTCCCTTTCAGGTTGGCAGTAGTGACATTGAAGGGGTCAACATTATCGCCTTCAGGCAGATCAATCAATTTGACCTCAGTGGAAACATCATCACGTCTCCTGAACACCTTCCAACACTATCAGTAGGACGTTTAAAACCTGGCATTTTTGTCTTTCTTTTGAAACTTTTAAGTCTCTACAAGGCTTTTGCATTAGCTGTAGATAAGTTAGACCTGTAATCATTTTGCTTTACCTTTACACTTTCCCCCCCCAGGTGAAATTGTACAAGAGTGACAATCTGGACAATCCAATCAACAGCGTCTCTCTGGGACAGTCCCTTTTCTTTCACTTCCCTCCTTTGGACAGAGATGGCGAGGTAATTCAGTCTTAAAGAGCTCCTGTTATGCTTTTACTGGTTTGAGTAATGAGGTCAGTGTACGTTTAGTAATCCCAGTAAGCCAAAAGGTTCGTGTTTCAGACCACTAAGACAATTCTTTCCTACTATTAGACATGTATAATGTCAGTGTGAGAGGACATCCCTAACATGGTTATGTCAGGGACAGCGCTCTTCATATGTGCAAATTTACCACCCACATGCTGTTCAAACCTTCTGTTTAGCAGTAGTAGCCAATCAGAAGAAACCTGGCTTAAAGGGAGAGCGGTTTTAAAGAGAGAGGAGGTAAAACACCTTTCTGAAGGTGGTGCAGGCCCTCAGTTCAGTGAGGCCGAGTATAAGATAAAAGTAGGATTATTTTTCTACTGTGAAACATGCAAAGCAACTTGATGGTTTTTGGTTTTTAAGCCAGTATTATTAAAATATAGTGCTGTCAATGTTAACGCAACATTAACGTGCTTAAGCTGCATTAACGCCGAGTGACCCCTCACACTAATCTGCGTTAACTCGTTAACAGGGATTTGCCAATTTTGACGCGTTAACGTGGGTCAGTTCACGTTAATGCTGACAGCACTACTGAAATATCATTTACTTAGTCCTTAATTGCGTATTTTACGTAATTCATAGTAAAACGTGACCCAGAATACACTGCTGTTTATCCATAGTCACCTTTCTCTTCTCTTTTCTAGAGCTACGTACTGATGCTGTACTCCACACTGTCCCGTTCCCAATATGATTTCACACTGCCTCAAGTCTCCTTCACTTCCACTGGCTACTACAAACATGTCACTCTTACCTTCCACCCTACTGTAAGATACAGATGTTTTTAAGTATATATTTTTCCTACAAAGAATATTTGTTTTGTCTTATTTGTTACAGAACAGTATGTTTCTATATAAATGTGTGTGCACTTTCCCACAGCGTAAAGTGCCCGACCAGGATGTTGCTCAGGGGTCTTACGTAGCTTTGCCGCTCACTCTACTTCTCCTCTTAGCGGCCTACAATTATGAGAAGGTACAGAACAAGTTGCATCTAATCAAGGCAGACTATTCAACCAAGCTTTTGTTTGATTTGTCAATTTCTAAATGTGAGGAATAAATGTCACTAGAAGTGAGCCTTGTCCAGGCCAAGCCTATAATGTATTAATACCCTGTAATTCTAATAGTTGTCGCATGGTTGGTTTTTGTAGTTAGTTTTTGATCCAGTAAGCTTCATTTAATGCCTTTTCCTGACCTGTTTGCAGGTGATTCCCCTTTTGTTACAGTTGGGGAGCCGCATCCAGGGAGTGAGGAGCATGGCTCAAGCCAGCAGCGAAAGTGCTGCTATGGATGAAGCCAAACGTCAGGCCAAGAGACAGAAAGCCAGGCGAACATGAGGTGCACATTAAGCCACATCTTCGTACACTAAACTGCCCGCTAGCATCCGTGACCCCAGCATCGGAAAGCAATGGGTTACCAGGGTTACACTTCTTCATTGTTACCAACCAAGTGCTGTGTGTGCTAGTGAACTTTTTAGCTTGCTAAGGTGTGTTTGAAACAGGGCCCAGGTGAAGCCCAACATGAACCACTCAACACCCTTTACCACCACCACCACCTCCACCTCATCTGCCACTTTGATTCACTGGACCGATAGCTGACATTTTACAGACTGTTTTTTGTCCACAATTAATCTTAGTCTAAGAAAATTGTTGATATTTGTAATAGAATATGAGCCATTTTTTATATTTGTAATTTATCCAGGTCAACAACAGCGTTTTGTGGGTTTTTTTGTTGTTGTTTTTTTTTAAATGAGTACACTGCTTATTTTAATAGTCCTAACAATGTTTGGGTCCGTGAGACATTGTATGCCTATCAACACTGGGGCCAAGTCATTGAAACGTGGCTTTAATTTGATAAAGTGTTAGCTTAAAGCAGCAGTTCTCAAACTTTTTTCCCTGGCATGCCTCCATTTAGATGCCACACACACACACACTTTCTCAGCATCAGCAAAGTTGATTATTTTACATACCGTACATAAATTATAGCCATAAAGCTTAATTTAACTTTGTATTTTTCCCTGGGTCGTCCGCAACCCTCCTGCAGTGGATTTATGTCCCACCAGGGGGCCCCGCCCCATAGTTTGAGAACCGCTGGCTTAAGGATATTTAAGGTTTCCAAACTATGTGCTGGTTTTTTCACAAGCTTAAAATGTTTTTAACTTGATGTGTCCCCATGGACTTGATCTAAGACTGAACTGAGCCTTATAATCCCATCACAAACAAGGGACTCTGTAACTTCCAGTTACAAATGAAAGACAACCAAAGATGTTAACGAGCTAATATGGTTGTTAGTCAAATGACATCACACAATGTCAATCACCAATGAAATACTGTAATGCATTCACTCCTGATGGCATTTTATTAGGCGTTAAGTGTGATGTTAGACTTTTTGACTCCTCCGTTTGCTCAGGTACAGGATGCGGGAAATTTTGGTTTGAATACTGTGTTTTTGTTTTCTTTGAAGGATGGGCTGCGGTGGCGGGGTAGGGAGTGATAGGGCTAACTAAGAGTTGATTAATTTATTAACATGTTTAATCGGATGTGAACGATAACCTAGTCTGAATGCTATGACGTGTTTTTTCAGAAGTGTGGTTGATTTCATTTTTTTCTCATTTATATTCCATAAGATTAAATATGTGTGACAAGCTAAATTAAATTTCAGAAGACCCATGTACTGAATCGAAAATGAATATCTACAAAGGGTCGTTCATGACCTTTAGATAAACTTGATGAGGCAGGATTGTGATTTCATAAGCTCATTGTCTTACTGCAGAGCAGTTTAATGCACTGTGAAATCTATGTACCCCAGCTCTTTTTTTCTGTATTGAATTCATCTGAACTCAGCGGTGGCTGCCTTTTACAGAAAGATGAAAAGGCCACTGACTATTTACTGAGTTGAAAGATATTCCAATTAGTCTACATTCAGAAGTTGATTACTTTGGTTGGGGTGGGAGACGGAAGATGAGGGAGGTGGGGTGTAATTGTCATTTGTTCAGAATCTGTTAATTTTTCAGATAATCAATAAAGTTTGACTGGAATAAGATTACCTTTTTTATGGCTTTACCTGTAGGGGGCAGTGTAATGCTATAGGATAATATAACAGACAAGAACTGTAACTCCTCATCCTTTAAGTGTTACAGTACAAAACTCCTATTATATCAGTTCTGGATCACAAGAAGTCGACTCAGAAAATCAATAAGTCTGAGTCTGACTTCTCTCATTACTCCCCTTCACCCGAGCAGTACGTGTTATAAAGTGCCTTAGGGCACATTAGAGAACAGCCTGCACAAGTTGATGTTTTGGGAAGCGAGGTTAAACGGCTTAAATCACAGCAGAGCTGCCTAAAAGGAATATGTTTCAACTGAAATCCTATTGTTTTAGTGTGAAAAGGAAGCTTACACATGAATAACAAATGTGCTCTGCGCTGTCTTGAGAACTTCGCCCCACCCTGTCTTTGTACACAGCATCAGACAAAGCCGGAGCACTGGACAGTTTTTAAGCATTAACTGATGGAAAAACAAGCTAAATTGATCACAGTTCGTATTTTTTGACTAGCCTTTGCCAACTAATAATAAACAAACCACGTTATTGATCAGGTTTATGACCTCACATCTGGCATTTTGACCTGCAGTAGAGGAAACATCAGGGGGAACAGATCGCATTAACCATGCCTCTTCAACCTCTAAGGTGCAGCACTTGCAAGGCTTGGGTTAATTGCCTGTTGGTGTGCTGGCATGGCTTACAGGAACACTAAAATTAACTGAATGCACTATTTTTATGAGTTATTCATGTAGCTTTCTACATCACCCATTTGTTTAGTATTCTGGCATGTGTTTGGTTTTTCTCAGAAAATTCTCAGACACAATTTACCATATTTGCACAAAACTCTGGACTAAGTTATCAGCTAACACCAACAAGATTGCTTAGCAAGCTGCTAACCATGAAAATTAGTGCAATTAGCAGATGACTAAAATACAAAAATGGAGCATAAACGCCTTGGACCGCACAGCGAGATATATTACGGTGCTGCGCAAAATTCTTCAGCCAACACAAAGCCAAAAAACTCCCAAAACCTTGAAAATCAGTATTTGGTATGAAAACGTTCTCAGTAAAGACCCTGCACTGCCTCAGTTATGCTGAGTTCTGCACTTTGGGAAGGCCAATCCATGACTGATAGTGTTCTCAGTGTGTTTGTCTGTCCAGGTATGCTTTTACTATATTGACAGTGATGTTACATCAGTTTTGAGATCACCACCACTGGCTGAAAACGCCGGCCCCAAACCATGGTTTTTTTTGTGTAATTGGCATTCCTCAGCCTCATGTCCCTGGTTTCCGTCCTGAAGAATAGCTGCTTGACAGACACCCTTCCACTGAGACCATTTCTGATGAGGCTTCAGCAAACACATACATCAACTGAAAGTTTTTTGTTGTTTTTTTTAGGGTTGTGACTTTTTCTCTTGTCCTTCCCCTTTTGTTGAGTTTCCTCAGATTTTTTAAGAACACATTGCACACAAAATATGCCAAGTTTTTGCTAATAGCTCTTTGAGTCAAAAATACTATTTTAGACCTGTCGAACTGTCGTCTCTGGCTATGACTAAAGACGTGGAACCAAATTATGTTGTTTGTTTGTTTTTGCTTAAAATCTCAAAATGCCTTAAGATATGATTAAAAATGAGTTCTTTACTAAGTCATCTGTTATGTGTAGGCAACATGCTGGTTCATCCCTTGAGTTAGGTGCCTTTTAAGTGTTAAATGGCTTGCCAAACACAAACACCACTGAAAATGGTCATGTACAAGGACTGGACTGAAAGATTGAGAAAACAGTCAATTTCCAAAGAAAACCTTCAAACGACCACAAGTCTAGCTCCTTGGAAGCAAAATATAAGGAAATGAGAGGTAATGGAAGACTTTTGCACAATACTGTATGTCTTCATTTAAAAAAAGCTCCTAATAGTACAAACATTGTCAAGACAACATAAAGCAAACATGCTCTATAGATGAACTATAAAAAAAAATAAAGTTCATTATGCAGTTCACTATCCAGAGACCAAAACCTGTTTTTGTCCCAGGCTATTAACATGCTTTTTAATAACATAATTTTGGGCATTTTAACACAGGAGTCTGTAGGGATGTACTTGCCTTTGGGCCAGCCTCTAGTGGCTACTGAACACTTCTGATTGGCTTTGCTGTTTAGCCCTGGAGGATGCTAACAGAGTCAAATTAATGAGGTTTTATGAAGCTTAATTAATCACATAAATGGCAGTAACAATGGCTACAGCATGCAGTATATAACATAGTGTATATGGGTAAGCTGGAAGGCATTTATTCAAAAGTTAGCCTAAAAGAACCTTTATACAGGTAGAATGCATAGTTGATGACAAGCAAAATTACTTTTCTGCCCTTTTCCTCTTCATCAGTTTGTGCTTTAAATAGAGAGCTTTTTGACCATCATTATTATTTTTATTTTTTTTTATATCTGTGACAGTTGTTAGGCTGTCTCCTCTCCCACCTACACACTGTACATGTGACAACAACGCTTATGTGAATCCTGGATGGACTACCTCCTTTTGCTCCATCCATTTCATTGAAAAGGAGTGCCGGTGTCTTGTCACTCAATGCACAACGTTCTGACAGCAGCTGAGACGCCATACTGGGGCTCCTCTGCTGGCATTTTGAATTGATGAGATTGAGATGCAGCCAATTAGTGTGAGCCACTCAGCTCAGCGTCTGTCTGCAACAACCTGGGGAATAAAAGCTGCAACAACAACACACACCGGTGTCATCAGTTTAATCACATAACATTGTCACTCAACTTCAATACACATGGCAGTCTTCTATAGACATGAGTTACTATTACTTCTATATATTTCTTGAGAAAATTGTTTTTCCCTCAGGTACCTCTGCAAGCAGGGATCCTTATCTTACAGTCTGCTGACATTCTAGTGTGATTTTATGGGTCGTTCCATTGCATATATCACACGCTGTCATTGCTTATGCTTAGAAAACACTGCCTGTGCATCTTAAACAGTGTTATTGCAGCTCCCGGTTGTATTTCAGTGACCCATGAGGTCTTATACTAATGACAACAGCAGACTGTGGAGTAGTGTGAACTTTATAAACCAGATGATCTGTAAATTCCCACAGTTAAACAGCTCCATTCTTATTATAGAAAACCTTTTTTCCAATGAGGTTTTCGTTCTTACAGCAAGTGAATTTATACAAATTTCCTGGGCCTTCGCCTGCATATTTGCATCACGCTGTCACTTAACATAACTCTCTCCATTCATGTCGTCCCACACTGCAGTGGCTCACTGCCCAGCCTGAGTCACCTATACCAGTCATAGTGCATTGGCCAGGACACAAGTCATCGTAGAGCAGTGGAGGGAGAGCGGCGCAGCACACCGTCTGTGGCACATTAATACCAGACGTTTGATGAGAAGGCCAGAGAGAGGGGGCACGGGGGTGGGGGGAAATTAAATATTCATTAGGAATGATGACAAGACGGGCAGCGGTGGGGATGATGTGTAATAGTATCTACTGGCTGCTTTTTGTGGGAGCTGAAGCCTGTATGTGTGTGTGTGTGAGCCTAGATGCAAACCAGGCCGACTCTAAGTGCCAGTCTCTATCTGTACAAAGAGGTGTGTCATGTCACCCTTTTATGAAACCTAATGCCTTACTGCATGCCAGATGCAATGACAGCTGAGGTGGCTGTGTCCCCACTAATGTAATCAGAGAGAGCAAGAGTGCCCAGAAAGCCTTAAAAATCTCCCGTCATTCATACATATTATGATCGAAAACAGGATTTTTATCCCCAAGGCTGCCTCTCGCTACAGTTGTGTTTAAGTGCAAGTTAAATCTGCAGCCTTTATAGCATGCTCTTTTTATTAAGTTTTCTGGACCGCAACTTTAATGTTTTGAGTCACTTTGAGCACTATCATCATTGTTGCTTGGAGCCATAGCAGAAATCTTTTATTTAGCAAAACCCATCGAAAACCAGCTGTACTCTTATACTTTCTGCCCAGCTCAAAATAACAAAGTGAGAAATGAGCTGTAAAGACAGTGAAACACAAGAGCCAAACAGTTCCAGCAGAAGATGTTGGAGACTTACATTTATCACATGATTGTAAATGAACTAACTGTTCAGTTTAGTAAATGCAGACCAACAGTAGAACAACTGTGAAACCCAGAATGTGAACTGCAGGTGTGTCATCATGCATGTGGTTCCACATGCTTAAGCATTCCAGTGCTCAGGCATTTTTTAATTGAGTTAGGTTCTATTAATCAATATTAATATCAATAATTCAATATGCCTTACACTGGCTTGTCTGGAAGTATTTAGCAATTCTTCAGTGAGTTGTGATGCTCTTAGCTGTGTATCTTAAATATGGGAGGATAATGGAGGCCAGGTCCATGCAAGAAAGTCTCCTGACTTGAAATAGAGAAGCTTATGAATCGCTCATTACATTGAATGGCCACCAAAGATATGTAATTATATCTATGCAAATACATTTGAATTCCAATAATTTGGTTTTATTCCGTTATGTTAAGTTATGTAGATTAAAATGAATTAAAGCTCGCATGATCTCTGTTTGATTCTTATCTCTTTCTGCCTTCCTTTCTTTTTAGTCCAAGGGGACAATTGTTTTACTACGACACAGCATTAGTCTGTGTCTGCTGCACAGCTCTTCACAGTGTAAGGTGAGCCATGTACCAGCGGTGTCTTCTAATCTTCTGCCTGTCCACAAATCTCTCCTTGAACAAATGAGTCTCACTGACCACTGCCGCTGCCTGTCCTCTACACATTTTCCAGTGCCCTTCCCTACATCCCACACAAGTGAAGCTCAAATGCCTAACGGATCAATGGACTGTTCAGGCCCGCTCGCATTCAACAAGGTCTCAGCATAGCTGCCGGCCCATTGGCTTTAAGAGATTTTTGTTGGCGGGTACGGTGATAAAAGCACAGACATCATGGTAATAAAAAGGCTGACAGGTTCTGGGAAGGACTGACTCTTTTTCTCTCCTCCTCTCTATCCATCTCGTTTT